GATGTACATTGAATAACATTATATTATATATAACTAGCTGATCCCGTGCACTTATTATTGCCGGTAAAAATGCCAACTTTATATATGAGACTCAATTGTGATAGTGCAAGTAGTATAGTATGTCTACCTGTGGTGAATTGAGGACCCCGCTTGATGTGTAGGTACTCTAAATAAATAATATATTTTATTTTTATTTTGATTGCGGACACGCCGATGAGTGGCTATAAGTGAAACTCAGCCACCTTGGTAGGCAATTATGTGCAAAAATACAATTTTATACATGCTTATTATACCTGATCTGCCCAATGCACCACTCGCAACCAATAAACAAAATGTTTATATTAGGATTACAAATGTATAAAAATGAAATAACAAGGTATTATTATTTTTTGGATTTTTGAATGTGGGGGTGCTAATCTAACGGACATAAATACAATATACAGTATTTAAAACAATAGATTGTTCAATAATAATCACTATAGGAATTTACTAAATATTAAAAAAAAATTTTTTAAGCATCTTTAATATCCCGATTATAGTATTATGTATGCTGTAGTCTGTTGTTTAATAAACACTTAATATATTATATTGATACGTAATCCGGTAAGTGGTAATATTACATTATTGATTATTTTAATTTTTAAAACTATTTAGTATATTTTATGAAAGATGTATCTCTATTATTGACCTTGTTAATGTATTTGCATCTGCATCTGCCTCGGTGCAGTCGATAAATAGATGTGAAAAAATCATGAACTTACTTAACGTACTGCTACCAAATATTTTTCAAATTATAAAAAGGATGAGCATAAAACATTGATAAACATTACTAAATTATCACATATTTTTGCTAAGCATTAATTTAAGCATGATATGCTAGTGAGTTGTAAATGTTAGATTATATTAAGTACTTAAGTATAATATAAGTCGTAACACTTAAAATTCATCTGTTGTAATTTCGCATGAAATTTACATGAAAAGTAGGTAGAGTACTATATGTTTACATAATAAATATTATTTATAGATCATTACAACAAGCTTATAATATCTTAATGGTTTTAACAATAAGGCATTTTTTTTTCTATTGATACTAACTAGTTATACCTTTAGTCTAAAAAATTAAGTAAATGTAGTAATGACCAATAACAAATTATTTATAATAATTAACATAATTTTTTTAAACTTATTGGTAGGAATTTCAGAAAAATGCCATAAAATTAAAAAATAATTTGTTTTCTATACTACTGTCTATATACTTAAATAGCACTCGGGATCTCGAAGAAATCACATCGTCGCCAAATAACTACTATACCGATACCGACTTAACTTCGGCATGTCTGAAAACCATGATTCTTGGACCAAATCCACTAGTATAAAATTAATCACGAATTTTTTACGTTCATAATTAATCAAAATGTAAACATCTAATTTTGTAACTTTTAACACGAGATCTATTTTTGTATAGATTTTTTTAAAATTATTTTGACTACTTACAATCTATATTTTCAAATTCATTATCTAAAGTAGAATATTTGTGTGAATATATTTTGACGCTTAATAGGTACTACAAAATATATTGAAGCAACATTGTAAAATGATATAGGCATTTAAATTATAGATAAGAGTATGTAGTGATAAGTAAAATGTCAAGGTGAACACGTGTACCTACCGCAAAGTTAATTTATTTCACTGCTTCTAGGAATCTTAAAAAAATATAAATGACAAAATTATTTATTCAATGTTTGATATTTATACATTTAAATATTAATTAAAATATATTCTGATTTAGTAGATGCAATGATATATCTAAACTGATCTAAAGCTTTGACGAATAAAAAAACCTAGAAAATGACATTGTTAAATTGATTTTTCATAAATACTGTAGACCAACTAAATAAATATATTTTTACCAACATTCAGACAATAATAATTAAGTGTTAAAAAATCACTGGCAGTTGACAATACACCGTTTGTTGACATTATATTAAAAACCCCTTTCATTGAACAATGAATAATTCTATATAATACTATCTATCCATATCGATACTTTTAAAATGTCTAACTATATTATTTTAGGGAAACAAATTGTGTCTGGTAAGGTCTTAAAGACATAAAAACGTATACAAAGTCGTAGCTGGGGGGGGGAGGTCAAGGTTCAACCTTTTATTTAAATAATTATATTAATTCAAAATATAACTAGTCAAAAAAAAAAATCGTTTCATAGTCACATACAGTCACATTATTCTATATAGATCTGTTTTATAATAGGTAATAATAAAAATATTAATAATATTTATAATTATAAGTCAATATAAAAGTCTCAATAGTGGTCACATTATATAGTATATAGTTCTGTTTGATAATAATAATAAATTCATAATTTATGGTTACTGCCTATCGTGAAGTTCAAATCGATAATAATATAATAATAACAAATTAAATTAATACCTGAAAATAATAAATTACAAAATTTTGGCAACTTGAATGTGGTAACATCGCAAAAAATATTCTATGCTCAATCGTGTTGCTAAAAAGGTATATGCTTAATCGTGCTTTACCGACATTTTTGATTTTGCAGGGTCAAACCTCAGTACTAGCGTCAAATGAAGGTCAATTAAGAATATTCAATAATTTTGATTGCGGTGTAGCCATGTCTGGTTCTTTGGTTGGAAACTTCAGTATTGAACCATTAGATGTACTTCATATTAATTATAGTTCAGCTGTATTTAATGAAACTGATGTTCTATCTATAAACGTAGAACCTACGTGCCAATTATTAAAAACGGGTACACTGAAACAACGTGTTTTTATCGTCAAAGGAGGGGTTAGAGTTATTATGATGTTTTTGATATTATTAACCTGTTTAACAAACACCTTTTTTATATTTGTTTTATGAAAGGTTTCGTTTTATTTATTAACATCTAAAAAACATGATGATATTGAATTAAAATATTTAAACGAATTGAGGAAATTAAGGAGTGGAAATTCAAATCTCAGGTTAGACCATTGATTTCAAGATATAAATTATAATATAATAAATATTGTAATACAATAAATATTAGGCAAGGGCGTAAGGTAATAACTACATAATAATTAGGTAGGTAATAACTCAAAAATAAATGTAAATAAACAAACAATTCAATACTCGTTTAAAAATTATGAATTTTCAAGTATTGAATATTGATACAAAATATTGAAATAAATAATTAAATTAAAATAGCCATACAATTTAGACATTTTTTAGATCTCATAATATTAAATTAATAAATCTTTAATTTCAATAGGATTTCCTACAGTGATAATTTATCCGGGAAAAGCATTACACTAAGAAATACTGATAATAAATTGTCTGACATAAATAATTTTCAATTGCCATTAAACAAAAATACAAACCACGAAATACCTGTCGGAACGTAAGTGTGGTTTGTATGGTATGCAATACAATATTATATTAAATCATTTGTAATGGAAATTTCTTACATAATATTTTAGCTATGATATATATTTAGACAATGAACACATTTTGGTAACGATAGATTTACTGCCGGCTAGTGTTAATGAGCTAATATTTCACCAACGTTTTAACCATACGGTAACTAATTAGTAATTTATTGGCATTTACCTTTATACTTAATTGTTCAGTTGACAGTTTTTAATGTTGTTATTTGGAATTTTAGACAGCCAAGTTGATTACTTTAGAAAATGGAAAATATATACATATTCTATGGCAAGTTCCTCAAACGCTTTTCATAACAATAGCTGAAGTTATGATCGTCGTTACATTATTGGAGTTTACGTTCACTCAAGTAAAATAAATATCAATTAAATGCTGATAAAAATTATTTCTGATTAAAATAAACTTATTTTTATAATAGTGCTATTACAATATTTTTTTGAATAGTTAATATAGCTCGTATTATATCGTTAATTTTTAGGCTCCATTAAGTATGAAGTCTTTTATATCTGCAGCCAATTTATGTACACAAGCAGTTGGCAATTTAATTATCGTCATCATATCTAAGATTGGATTGTTTGAGAATCAAGTTAGATCCTGGTTTAAAGATGCTGTTCATCAAGTCATTATCTAATTGAATTTTTTTACTTTTTAGGTTCATGAGTATATATTTTACGTAATATTAGTAGTTTTAGGTGTCATAATATTTATGTTGATGAGTTCCAAGTATAAATATAAATATGTAACAGAAAATCAATCTAAATAATGAGTGATATTTTTGAATATTTACAATATTTAGTTGCAGCAACATAAAATATCGACATTTGAGGAAAGTAACTCAATTAAATATTGAGAGGATTTTATTTTTTAATAATTTTTAATTGCTCATAATATTTTATATCAATTGTTAACTGTTATTTACCTGTATTATTATTATTTATTACACATTCATGTATATATTATACATATCATTAAATAAATATATTGATTTGTTATCATAAAATACTGTAACATTGTTTATTTGTTTTAATTTTAAAATTCTATGTACAGAAAAAAAAATATTATTGCAAATAATTCAACCACAATAAAACAAATATGTATAGGGATTCAATAGAAAGTGACTAAATAATAATTGTATTACGTTATCATTATTAATAAGCTTAAATAAATCATACATTTTATTCATGGTGAAAATGCTAATAAATCTACTTAACTACTATCTATTACTGCTATACTTGTAAGGTACTTTGTAATATTACAAAAACAACGGTTCAATTGCAATTATAATCCGAACGTGTAAACTTAACACAGCCAGTATAGGTACCTACTCCACGGCCAGTATACTTGTTCCCTCAATTTAGCTGCTTGGTCTATGAAATAATTATAAAACCATTACATTTTACCAACTTTTCAATTAAATACTTTATGAAATATGAAAAATGGTTGTTTTCACGTTGTTGTCATAATTTATTAATCGAATGAATTAGTTACAATTATTTTGTTAAATTTATATTTAATAAAATACCATACGATGCAAAACAAAAACAATGTGAGTACCTATTTTATTATATTATTACAATTTCTCATTTATTTTTATATATTTGTTATTCCATATTTCACATGTTACCAAAATTGTTTAAAAAATGCGTAGTGTTATCCAAAAGCAGTCTGGTATATATTTGGAAACGAACTGTGTGAACGGTTTAGTTTTTATGGACTTAAAAGTAATTATTTACACTCCCATATTTTTCCTATTAATATTAAAATTCGGTTTAATTTTTAAACATTCATACGTTTTTAGCAACTTTGGTTTTATTTTTTACAATTATTCAAAAATATGACCAGGATACTTCCACGATTATATTTCATATATTTATGGTATTTTCATATATGTCACCATTGTTTGGAGCCATCATAGCAGATTCATACTGGGGAAAATATAGGTGAGTGAAATAAACAAAAGCGATATAAGTATTATTTGTACGTTGTACCCATATAATTTTTAAGCTTGTATCGTAAAATTTTTATAGTTCTACCCGTGGCATATAAATGTCCTAAAAAGTTGATGTCGCAAACTAAACGCAATTTAGAATACCACTTCCCACCTCACATGAACGATACCATTGTACACATTTTGTAACAGTGCATACATGACACTATATTAAATACTACATGATAATTAAATTTTTTCTAGGTCCTGTTAACATATTAACCACTCACCCATCCCACCACAAAATAGTAGGTATATGTTGTGACCTAATCTAAACTTTTTTTTTACATTTAGTATCGATGACTGGGAGTGGAACCGAAGTTAGTCATTACACCTCCCCCCTTCCAGCCTCTATCATTTATTGAAAAAATAACAATATTATCAATGGGTTACAAAAATATCTAGGGGGGTATAATAATATAAGAGGCCCCTACTCCTCTCGTTGTGATCTTTTCCTTCGGCACACATATAAAAGCTTAACTAATTTATTTTTTATTTTGATGCCTTTGTTCTTCCTCTTCTTTCTTATGCATCACTTATTCGTTATAAACCGTTTATGGTGGTTCACACTACCCAATCTTATCAGGTAGACATTGTGATCGGTGCCACAAATTCTACTTAAGGTGGCTGGAGCGTGACGTATTTTAAAGAGCAATATTTAGGCATTTCATGTAGCAATTATATTTGATCTGTGTTACTGTGTGAGAAATAAATGAATATTAGTGTGTGTAATTCGTAAAATTCGTTATCGAGTATCGACCACCGACCGCTTACCGTCCGGGTATTAGTTTCCGCACGCTCTGGCAAGTGTCAATGATAGGTTGGTACAGAATACAAATTTTATCAAATATACTCCATACTATTCAAATAACAATGTTGGCATTAATTCTCCCCGGCCAGTACAGTTAATTTAAATTTAAAAGAATACAGACTGAGGAGGTACAGTTACAAATGGGAGTTAGACGGGACATGCCCAGACTAAACAACCCGCCCGACTCTCAGAAACTTATGTAGCCTATAAGTACCAGCCTCTATAAGTATGAAATTCATTAGAAAAAATTAGAACTCAAATACATCATTATTTTTAGTAATACCTACTGATAAGATATAACATAAGTATAATATTAGTATTTAGTATTTGTATACGTAAATGCGTTCCGTTTATAATGTTGCATGAAACTTGAATGGCCAAAAGAAAATCATTGAATACATAATTCTTAAGCCATTAATCATTAAGCATAGACGCATAAGCACATAGATAATCTTATTAGTGAATGAGTTTGGTAACCATTTAAAGCGTTATAAAGATTTCACACAAATATTTTTGAAAACTGTTGCCGTTTAATGCGGAAGGTTATTTTAATTTAGGTGATATGGTATTAAAAAAAAAAGTTCTATAATTCTTATTTGTGACTACAGTAATTCTACAACTTATTAAGGATTTAGATAATAAGGATCGTTATAGATTAACTTCAAGTTGTTTAAAATATTGTTTAATGAATTCTGTAAAAGTGTACAGTATTTATAGTGTACTACATAGATAAAATATATTCTTATAATAAGGCGTAAATATTTTTTGTTATTGACACCTACTGAAAACATCCATGCAAATATAAATTAAACTATTTTAGTTATTTATTTTTTCTTTCGATTTTATTTACAAAACTACTATGAAGCGACTTGACCGTTTTTCGCCAAAGTGACTCGATTGTTATATCACAGTGACCGTTTAGGTTAATTCAGGTTAATTCAAATTTGCACCAAAAAAACTAAATACATTTTTTGAGAACATTTGAACTCGAATATACCAAATCATAATGATCACTAATAGGGAAGGCATGAAATCCGAATGTCCGAATGATCCGAATACCCAGATATCCAAATTCAGATTCTAATCAAATTCTTATCCGGATTTATTTATCTGGTTTTTTGATTTGACCTAGCCCGAGAAAACAAAAGACCATGCTGTCATAAATCATAATGCGTCGGAAATAAGATATTTTTTAAAAAATGTATAGAAATTAAATGTGTTAGAATATAAAAATGGGAGATTGAACTGTAAAATTTAGTCAGATGTACGAATCATTTGGATAATCCGTGAAATCCGGATATCGGAAATTCGGAATTTAAAAATTCTGTATATGTATACATATAATTATTAATAGAATATAAGCACCTATATTATATTGTCGTTTATGTCGTTTATTAGACGTTAAAAAAAATCGAAGTTGTAAAACATACTTTAAATTTACTGTCAATATAGTGTCTTAAGTGTATAATAATATACAAAATAAACATTAAATACAACAAACATCACTAGTATAGCTTCGATATTCATGAAATTAGAAAATAAAGTTAAACGTATAATAAAAACAATATAGGTTGTGTACCTACATTATAGTACATATTATTATAATTTCAACGCACAGTTAAAGTACAAGCCAATTTTCATATGGATATTTTTGAATGAGTCATAAATCATAGTTTAGTGCAATATCTAATTAATATAGTCATGTGTGTAACTAAAGGGTTGAAATTATTTGGGGCGCACCAGACAAAACTATAGGTATTAGTTTAAAATAACCCATAGGGGGCTTATATATAAATCAATAAGTAATATTTTCGGGGGCCTAAATTGTAATCAAGAGGTGCTAAGCCCCACAGCCCCTCCCCCTACGAAATTCCGAAGATGGGGGAGTAGGATGTTATAAGTAATTATACGTTTAAATTGTTCGAGTTAACACATTGGCTAATCACTGATTTCATAGGTTTTCAGTAATGTTATTAATTATTGTAAAAATAATTTCAATTAAGCTTGAGAGATTGTAATTATTATTATCCAGACTTTTCGGGATTATTTAATATACCTTATAGTATATCTATTACAATAGATAATAGTTTAAGCTTTTTTCGAGTCATAATATTGTTATAACTTATAACTAATTAATATTGTATAAGTTATAGATTGTCTAATCTATTGTTTGATCCTGGGCCCCCAGGAGCCGTTATGTTTTATATTTTCTTTGATTTTGTCTCTTGTTATATAAAACAAATCTTTCTCAAATAATATATATTATTTGTATATTAGTATATTTATTATTGATACACCTAACCTAATCTTATTATGTTTACATTTCCAGAACTATCTTTATCTTGTCTCTTGTACACGCAATGGGAAATATCTTAGTGGCTATTACATCTCTTGTCACTTCAGTCAGTTTACATTTTCAGAGGTATATTAATATATTACGATTAACTGTTAACTCTAAAACTTAAATACTAATTACCTTATACTCAATTTTTCGTTTCGACCACATTTTATATACAATCTACTTTAATCAGTATACGTATAATTACGACTAAACTAAAAATTGATTTCAATTTCATTAAAATATTATATTGTATGATACTGCAGATTATTTACAATAATTGGATTATTGTTAACCTCAGTCGGAGCAGGTGGTATAAAACCATGTGTCGCTGCTTTTGGTGGTGATCAATTTGTGCTGCCAGATCAAGAAGATCGTCTGCAAATGTTCTTTTCAATATTTTACTTTGCTATCAATTTAGGGTCATTATTATCGTCAGCCATTACACCAGAGCTGAGGAAATCAGTCCAGTGTTTTGGCAAAGATTCATGTTTCCCATTAGCATTTGGGGTGCCTGCTATCCTTATGGTGATCTCAATAGGTAAGATATTTTCCATAAATCATAATTCGTCGATATCCTGTAGAATGACTAGATAGCTGTATTGCTTATTAAAATGTAATATTTTGCGAATAAACCATTCAATTAGGTACACTATTTTAGACTTTATAGTAATGACTAATGACCATTCGTACTACTATTTGTAGTTCTAGCGTCGATAGATTGGCAAATTAATAGGTACTAGTCATAATCTATATATATATATATATATATATAAATGAAGCCAAAA